AAGGTAAGACCTGTCCAGATTACAGTGGTTAAACCTTACTCAGTGGCCTAAGACGGCACAACTGTAGAAAGTGGGACAGGATTGTCTGGCAGTTTGCCCCATGCAATGATGACATGATAAGTATGTGCACGAGAAAAAAGTAAACCACATAATCAAAACGAATGTTGTATTTTTTTGGGGGGTGGGGGAGTTGGTGGGCGAGAAGATTTATCCAAGACGAATTGGTGATTCTACAATTGCCAATAAAAATGTTANCAAAAACAGAGGACGGGTGTTCCTTAATTCTGAGACTCTTTAACGAGGAGAGAATACGTATGCAGTTATTCGACAGAATTGCAATCACCCTGTGAGGTAGGCCCAACCCTTGTGACTGAATCCCGTTTGCAAGCGAAATCCGAGGGACCAAATCGGTCAACTCCGACAAGCAAACACTGAGTTACCAACGACAGAGAAAGGGAGAATAGCCTATTTCCGAGTTGTTCAATTTGTGTATGTCATCGGGTAGCATCCCTGATTGTTGGAGAGCTGCTCGGATAACCCCAATTTCCAAAAAAGGATCTTCCAAATATCGACCGATTGCCTACACATCAGCATTATTGAAAGTTTTTGAAAGAGTCCTTCTTGACAGGCTGACCCTTTTATCTGTCACCCATGACCCTATTCAGTTTGCTTACAAACATTCGCTTTCCACTCTTGATGATGTTACTCACGTTATTCATTCTGTTTCATCCTTATTGGATAAAGGGGCTGGCATCATCTGTTTAACTTTTCTTGATTATGCAAATGCTTTCGGATTACTTAACCGCGGCATTCTCATTTAATGTCTTTCGGACTGTGGTCTGGCAACTTATTTACTGAATGCACTAATTAATTACTTCACTCATCGGACACAACACACTTTTTGTAACGGTAAATCTTCCTCCCTGCTAGAAGTTAACTCTGGAGTTTTTCAGGGTACAATTCTGTCCCCATTTATTTTTTTCACTGTATATTAAGGACCTTTCCATCCCTCCCAACTTTATCACCTGCAAGTATGCTGATGACGTGGTGGTCGGCTGTCCCTCAACTGTTCCTGATTGTTTCTCTCAAATTCAAGTTTGTCTCAATAACATTTTTAGTTGGTCGACTCCCCGATCTTCAATGCTAAATGTAGATAAATGTGTGGATGATTCTTTTAGCCCTAAAACAGGCATGTCTTACCAAGACCTTTTGAATAATCAGCCTGAACTTTCTGTTAATGGTAATACCATCCCCAAAGCTAACTCTGTAAAAATATCTTGGAGTTACTTTGTCACACAATCTTTCTTGTTCCAAACATGTTGAAAACATTTATATTCGGGTTCGTAAGCCATCATTCTACGCCTTTGGGCTTAAAAAGCTCGGCATTCCCTCAAATGTAATTCTTTAATTTGTGACTGCTTGCATTCTTCTACACTGGTTGTACTGTTCTCCCGTATATTTTCCTGGTCTGAAGGAGAAAGACTTTATTCTCTTTTCCAGATCTCTTAAACTTCTTTCTCGTTGTAGAGGCATTTCAAAGACCGTTTTGGTTGACTTTTTTGCGAGCAAGCATTTTGACTCATGCGATCGATTTATCAGCCATATCCTGTCCAACGAAGAACACTGCCTGCACTCCCATCTCAATAAATCGGTCTTTCATCCGACTGCCCGTTCCCAATTTCGGATTCTTTATGCACGCACCACCACACAAAAACAGCATGATCCTTTATTTCGCTCATATCTTGATCAACCGAGCAAATATTATTGCTGACTTGAACAATCATCTCTCACATTAGGATTTTACCTAAATCCGTTTGTCTGTCATTTAGTAAATGTATATTTCTTCTTTTTCCGATACTTAACGTTTTTTCCCTACTGTAACATGTCGAAAATGCTGAAAATTCATCCTATCGGGTGCGTAAAGCTTTACTTGACTTGACTAAAAAAACGAGGCTGCATGGTTTTTAATCAGAGATGAGCGTAGACTAATGCCATCCTTCTATTAATTGGATCGGTAATACGACCTCTTCCGTGAAATCTACTGGAACTGCGGAACGTGCCAGGGTTGAGCTGCAATTCACGGGGTCCCAAAAAACGCGAGGTACTGATGAACTTTATGAACTCAACGTTCGGCTACTCACGAGTAGTACACCAATAAAAGTGATTTAGATCAGAAACAGCAATAACCCGCTACATATGCATGGAGTTTTTCGGACGCTTAAGAGGTGACGAGAAAACTATATGCATGTTAGGGTAATTTATTTATTTCAGTGAATATTGCCTTATTTGAGCCGAAAGATTGCTCTTCTAAATTTCATCCCATTGCCTGTATCTCAGTTTGTATTTGTGTAAATTGTAGTTGTTAATGTTTTAATTATATTTGAAAGGCTCATGCTTAAAATCCCGTTCACACAATTTAATGTTGAAGACCTATGGCAGTTTGCATATGCGTATTCTAGGGTAACCCTGGATTCCCCTGCTTCACCTTTCCACTTTGATTTACCCTCCAGTGATAAGAAAGCGAGCCTGCCCCCGCGTATGATTTCTGGACCAGTTTCAGTTTTTCCAACCATTACCCTCCAATTTCGCGCACCGGTTTTGGTTGCGCATTTGGA